CCTCTTTCTCCTGGAGCAGCTTTGTTTGCTCTGTGGCACACCAACCTCTGCAACCCTTTTCCAGGTCACTGTCTCCCATTGCCTATTTCCAGGTCATCATTCCACTTTCAGGGACAAGGAACCATGGCGCTAACCCGAGCAGGCCTCGGCCCATCACATTTTCCCCACTGGAGGATTCCGCTCAGCCCTTCCCGGACTTGGCCCCTGGACTTGGGCCAATTCCCAGGGGATGTTCGTGGCCTTGCTGGCCCGCCCAGGGTAAAGCCCCATCCTTTTGCCACTTGCATTCCACACCCTCATTTCGGAGGCCTTTGCCAGCCCTCCGTCCGGGGCAAAAAAAAAACAACAACAAAAAACTGGGGCATTTGACTGGGGAAAAGAGATGAGGCGTGGGCGCGAAGGTGAGAAAGTGCTAGACTGGAGTGCTTGCGCGGGGGTGGAAGGCAACTCCAGAACATACAAAAGGAGTGCAAAGTGAGGAGAGGAGGCCCAGGCCCTGCGGGACGACCGTGGGTTAGGGAGAGAGAGTCCGCTGTGCGCCCAGTCGCCACTACTCCGAGTGGGCCCGGCCACCAGAGCTCTGGGACGCGAGGCTGCCCTGGAGGAGCAGGGCCGCAAACAGGGGTGCGGGCTCTTTCGCCCCGGGAACGAGAGGGTCAAAAATTAAGAGGAGAGCAAGATCTGGGAGGGAAAAAATGGTCACAAAGACATTGGTTTGCCACCTTGCAAAATGGCGGCATTTAAACATCTTTCTGGTGGCGGTGGCCCAGGCCAGAAAGCAGAGGGCTGCCCCGGGTCAGAGCGGTGGCCAGAGATCGGCGCCTGGAAGGACAGCGAGGGGGAAAGCGACCCCCAAACCCGTTCGTCCCCCGGGCAGTCCCCTGCCTTCCAGTCCGCCCGCCGGCCCTAAACCCCGCGCCGGCTGCCCCCGGACACTGACCCCTGTTTACAAACACAGCCCAGGGGCGGGGTGGGGCGGCCGGGGCGCGGGCTGGCGGGGTGGGAGAGGACGCTGGCTGCCCAGGACGCCACCAGCAGCGAGGAACGAGGAGTTGGTGCGAGAGAGCGGGCCCGGCAGCTGGAAAGGACTGAACGCCTTGTTTTTGAAACTGTCAATTCCCTCAACCCCTATTGTGAGGGCTTCATGCAAAACATCTCAGGCCTTTTAAAGTAGGAGCTTGTGAGGCCGCCACAGTTTGAAAAGGAGCGAGAGAGGAGCGGAGGCCTAGGGCTTGGGCAAAGAATGATAGCTGGGCCCCCCTTCCTTTTTTCCTTTTTATTTTTTTTAATAGCAAAAGAGGGCCTGCCAAACAGGTAAAATGCAGCCCTCCCCCACCTCCTAGATTTGCCCTAGGTCCCCACCACAAGGGTAGTTTGCAAAATGCCCTTTGGCCTAAGGAGCAAACCAAAACCAAAGCCAGGATTAAAAATAGTTCTTCGAGAAATGGGGAAAATCCTGGAGAAGTCAGGGCGACCGGGTGGACTCCCTAAGGTGAACGCTCTATTCCTCCACGCCAATTTCCTAAGGTTAGTTGATGGGAAGCCTTTTTTACCCCTAGTTTGGCTCCAGAAACTCCCTTTTCACATCCTCTCCAGCAGGAAGTTATTTGTAAGGTGAAGCAAAACTCACCACATTTTTTTTTTTTTGGTCTTTTGAAGAAGCTAATGCTTTATTTTTTAAAAAATGGTTGTTTTTTTTTTTACCATGAGGATTTTTGTTTTCTTTGAAAGAAAAAATGTTTTTGAGGAATTCATCTTCATCTCTTCCTTCATGCAAACAAAAGTATCATTCTCATATGAGCAAAAACTTCTAATTCTTGGGACTGAAACTTTGAGGAATTTCTAGACCATTTAAAGTCACTCAGACACAGATAAGATAGCAATCCACACACCAGCTCATCTAGTGTGTTACTGCTGTTTAGTGGTGGCTCCTTCTTGTTGATTTTAAAATAAACAACCATTATTGAGATTACTCCACTGTAATCAAGTAAGCCAGTAGGAAAGAACACCCACTTTAAAAAGTAAATTGTTGAGTAACAGCAAGCTGTCTTTTGAAAAAGGCAGATAACCTGGCTGTGGATGACAGAGTACACACATATCTTTAAAGAATAATAAGTAAATCTTCATTTCGTCGACTGATCATGAAGTCACTTTTCTAGGACACCCAAAATAAGTGTTTCCCCAAAAAGTCAGAGAAAGGGCTCTTTCCTGCATTCTCCTCATGTCTCTTAGTGTTGAGTTTTAGACATAGGAATCAGTGACCCTGGGACCATACAAGTGCCTTTAAAAAAATTCTATCACCTGAAAACATTTAAATGTAAGAATGTGATCTGTCAATGGAGGTTACTTTTGTTTTTCTCTTGATAAGGCTTAACTTTTTGAACAAATGGGACATTTATAGTATCTTATGAAATCTAGATATTGTCATTAATCATAAGACAACCAAAATAAAATAAACTGTTCTGAAAATAATTCCCACAGCAGAATGGTCAAACAGCTAAGAGGCTACCAGAAATTGAAAGAATACCTTGTGTTTGCAAGTTACTGAATACCCTTTGCTACACTTTCCCAACAGAAGCCCCAACTCAAGTTTTGCTGTGGTTGGCTAGCTTGCAGGAGTACTGTGGGGTGAAATTTGTGTTGACTATTTAATTTCTTTCCTTTTGATGGTATCACTCTGGAATGCTTCAGCCTCCATGCTGCTCATTCTCCAGCTCCTACAAACTGAAACTATTGATTCTCTGAGGGCTGGAGACCAAGTGTCAAAGCTGGAGGGTGATATTTTATGTCAGAAATTCCATTGGGTATATTTGTTATAAAGTATGCTTATTCTGTCTCATAGTCTACCCACACCCAAGGTCTGTAGGCTTCAAATATATTCTCAATTTATAATTTCATAACAGTGATTCCATGACCAACAAGAAAGTACTAGTCTAAATATAGTAGTCATCATACTTTGAACTTTCTTGACTTAGCAGTAATTAAAGGCTAGAAATGACAGACTTCCAGTGTGTGCATGTCACACTTCTACAGATTGATTTTGCAGGACAACTCACTGCACCCAAATTCTGTATTGCCTTCCAAAGAGGAAGGAACTCAGACTGAGAAGCCAATTGTTCGGCTTCCTAGGGCTTTAACTGTAACTTGTACTGGTCTTTGGAATTACACACAAACATGAATTCAAGGATAACATCCCCCAATTTTTGCTTTGGCCATATCTATCATGCCAATAAAAAAAGGACATCTGGCAATATTCAAGAAGGAAAGGAATGGAGGCAGTTCAAAGCATCTGTTTACTCCATTCAATGTATTTGGATGCAGGTATGCTCAGCCTCTGTCTTTTACAATAAGAGTCAAACCACAGAGCATATACAGCAATTAGAACTGAGACCATCCAGATCTATCTGAAACATTTATAGACAAAAGAAAATTTTCAAAGGGAGAAGAAATTATAAAAAGTGAAGGGGAAAAAAAGACTGAATTTCCATGAGAAATAGTAACTTAAATTCACACAGTAAATATTTCATTGATGTTTTGTTTTGTTTTGTGATTTATGACCTATAGATGCAGCTTTGTAGGTTTCAGATGGGAAAGATCTGAGATACATAATTTGTCAGGCTAAGGGAGGTGGACCAAAAGTTATTAGATTTCATTTTCATTAAAATAGCAATTGATCTCTGCTTCACTTTCTTAAACCTGAAACTTTTTGCACTTGGTTAGTAACAAGTTTGCAAAGTTTTGTTGTCATTTAGGAATAAATATACCAGTGTTTTGCACAGAACCTGACTGGCCTCATCACATAATATTACAACAAAACACTACACCCAATAAATGCATTTCTTTCGGGCAAAAACATCACGAAGGAAAATGTCAACAAAACCATTCATTCCTGTTAACCGTTCTTCAATCAGGAATAAGTAAAAATGTATGGAACCAGGAATTTTAAACAGTGTTTTTAATTGAAAATAAAGCTAAAGCATGCTTTTCAACAGTGCAAATTTCCATAATTTTGATTTACTGCTTCCATCATCACAACATTGTACACCAGCATGGCCCTTACTAATGGCTAGACCCTAGCCATTTGCATGTTGAACTACTTTGATTTTAAGTGCAAATATAGATAGTCACCTCTGATTGTCACTTGCAGTAGAAACTCTCCTGCTCTATACACAGGATGGTCTGAAAACAGAAGTTTAGAGGATGTGGAAAAAGTAAAATGTAATAAAATCCAAGTGCCTGAGTTCTGGTACTAAAAACCCTGAAATAACTTATTTTTCATTTGGGGTATTCTTACAACTCTGATCCATTTAACTTTTCTTGTGTGTATTTAATGCTCTGCCACTATTAGGAGTCAGACCATAAAATATCCTGCTCTCAAGATAAATATTTTAATTGTTTTGCAAGTTCCATAAGTCATGTTCAGACTACAAAGGTAAGCAGGACAATAGTAATAGTCACCTTATTAAAAACCTTTGGGTGAGACACAAAAAGGACTTTTCCAATTGCAAGGAGTAGCTATAAAAGTAAGATCACACCCTTTACAAAAAATACAATCCCATATTTATTTTACTCAGTATATATGAGGCAGCTTTTACCAGCATTCAATCAGGACTCCCCAATCTTTCCATTCAAAAAAGGAAAAATTAAGTGCAACAACTTCTGGAGAGGGAATAAGGGGAGAAAAAGAGAAAGATACCCCACAAATGAACTCCAGAAGAGAATATTTTGGGCTCACAGAAACTTCTTGCTACTTCACTGTGTAACCATGTAGCCTAACAAACTTTCACTGAATGAAGTTACACTTTTAGGTCTGAAATCTAGTGCATAAACTTAATGGCTCATTGTAATATTTATTATTCAACCTTTTGACATTTATTTGTAGCAGTTGAATTGAGGTACCCGGTGCATTATTAGCATTGAAACAGTAAAGTGTTCCAGCTCTACCGTATTAACTGAGTTTTACTTGAGTCTTTAGCCTGAAGTAGTCTGTGGAATGTAAACCAACCATTCTCCCACCCCGCCCCCACCCTACTAAAAAAAAAAAACTCGCAATGGAAAAAAAAAGTAATCCGATTTGATTTCTGTCTTCAAAATGCGATAAACCAGGACTCCAAAAGGGGTGTAACACATTAATGGACTTGTACAAACCATCCTGTGCAGTTTACAACAAAAGGAAGGTAATACGGTTCAAGAAAATATCTTCCAAAAACACTTTTATGAATTAAATTTCCTGAATTTGTGACTAGGTGGAAGAGGTATTGCAGAACCGCCCAGCTGCCATTTCCAGATAGGATGGGCCTTGTGAGGAGGTTGGGAATCCTTAGTGGTGTTTAAAGAATATGCAGGCCACAAATCCCCATCTTTCCCAATAATGAGTGATGGTGGACAAGGAAAATTTGCCATGAAATTAAATGGCCTTTTCACTGCTGATGCTACATTGCTGGCTACCTTTTTGCGTCTGTTTATAACTGTAAAATCATCCAGTGTTCCTTCATGTGTCTCAATTTTACCTGTAGGACGAGGACTTCTAGCTGATTTCAAATTTGGTTTGAGTGGAGGTGTCTGAAGTACAGATCGCTTTCCCAGGACTAGTGTCCGGTAGTTTTTTCTCACCCTGGCACCAAATTTATATTCCTCATCCTCAGGTTTTGGAGAACCTAAAGTGCATGAAAGGCCCTGACTCAGAGCCAGTGGATTTAAGGAAGGAGTTTCTTTTTCAGGGCATGTAAACCCTTCCTTGGCTGTGGTTAGTAAGGTGTCCTCCTCTTTACTTCCAGTCACACTGTAAAACTCACCCTTTGTATCATTGCACTCGCACTTTAGCTTATTTGAAATAAGGTCAGGTTCATATTCTTCATTAGCACTACTGTCTTCGACTTTGATTCTAATATTGTGCAGAAGTGGCAGTGTCTCATCGCCTGTGTCAGTGCAGGGATTCTCCGCTTTCGTTGCTGTTGCTGCATCTACCCCAGGATTAGTCTGCAAAAAGGGCAAATCCGTAGCAAATTCAGTACAAGGAGAGATTTTGGAATCTTTTTCTGAATTTGCTGCTGCTTCTGAAGAATCATTATTGAAGAACCTAGAAGCTATTGTGTTGTTATCTGCACAGTGTGTAGTAGGAGTTGCTTGCAGGCATTTCCTAGCTTCTCGGAGTATTCTTTGTTGTGGAAATATATTGTTTGTCTTTGGGCTAGGTGAAGAGGCCCCCTCTGCCAGGCAGTTAATTGTCAGGTCAGTTCTCTTTACAGTACTGGAAATTTCAGAGTGTGGGAATGTAACTGCAGATACTCTATCGTTCCTTATCTCTGTGAAACAATTCCCCAGGCCGGCCGAGCAGTACACCGGAGACGCTTTGGAGGCCCAGCTCTGCAGAGTCCAGTCCTCTGCCGACTCGGCTTTAACACTGCTCTTGAGGTCGGGAAATCGGCCGGCATCCTCGAAAGCAGTGGGGTTGGATGCAGCGGCGGAGGCCAGATGGTACAAGAAGTTGGCCTGCGCCTGTACGCTGGGCGGCTTGCAGAAGCTGGTGCGCCTGAAACGGATGCTCTGCACTGACACTTGGCTGGAGCCGGAGCTGGAGTCCGACTCCGAGGACGAATCCTCCTCCTCCGAGCTGACTTCACTGGAATCCGTGGCCCCACTGCCCCCCTCCTCCTCTTCCTCCTCCTCCTCTTCCTCCTCCTCCTCCTCTCCCTCCTCCTCCTCTTCCTCCGAGGACACAGAGTTGCTGGAGCTGGACAAACTGGAGCCAAAATCAGAGTCGTTGGCTGCGTGGTCCGAGTAGGAACTGGACTCCGAGTCACTGCTGCAGCTCTCGGGAAAGCTGCCCAGATGGGGCTGCGGCCGGTGGTGATGAGGGGGGTGGTGACTCTGCGGCGGCGGCTGGGCCCGGTGGTGGTGGTGGTGGTGGTGATGGTGGTGGTGGTGGTGGTGGTGGTGGTGGTGGTGGGGAGGCGGGCAGAAGCTGTTAACCAGATGAAACCTCTCCAGGCAAGTGGCTCCGGCCGCCGCTGCCGCCGCCGCCTTCGTTTTGTAGGACCTGGGCAGCAGCAGCAGGCGGCGGGCGCTGGAGGGAGGTGCAACCAGGCAGTCCTTGGCGCCCCCGCGCTTGCGCTTGCAGCGGTAGGTCAGGCTCGCGGGGCCGCCCGCGCCGGCTGCCGCCTTGGGCTGGGGCCCGGCCGCCGATGCCTGGTAGTAGGCGGCAGCCGCCGCGGCGGCGGCGGCGGCGGCGGCGGCTGCAGCAGCGGCAGCAGCGGCGGCTGGGTGCTTGCTGCACAGCAGGCTCCGAAAATAAGCCGGGTCCGAGTGGAAAGCGACGTAGTTTCCCTGGAGCGGGGCAGTTTCATAGTTTAGAGGGGGTTTGCAAGGCGAGCGCACGATTTCTGGGTAGTGCGAGCCCGGGTATTTGCTAAAAATCTGAGGTAGATGGGCGGCGGGGCGCGCCGAGGCAGCGCCCGAGCGCCGGGACTGTGCGCTGATTGGCAGGGGCCGCGTGGCTCCGCTCAGGCCCCGCCAAAGTTGGTGCCGGTCCTTCCAGACAGCCGGGCGGGTGCCGGCGGCTGCAGCGGCGCGCTCTGGCGGCGGCGCCTTTGTGGCCAGGGCCCGACCGACCCTCCTGCGCTTGGTCTTGAGGACCCGCTCGGTTTTGCAGGAGGTGTAGAGGGCTTCTACGTCTTCCCGGGAGATGAGCGTGCATTTGGCGGCGTGGAAGGCGATGCTGTTGATGGCCTTGAGTTTCCGCAACTCCTCCAGATCGCAGTGGTGTTTTTTCACTTTCAGATGATCCATGCGCTTGTGCACGGTCGTCCTCGGGATGTTTTTCAGCAGATCCGTGAAGACTTGGGAAAGGGCAAACATTTGCTTTCCTTTAATGATGAGGTAGCCGAGCCTCACGCCATCCACCTCTTCAAAACCTGACTTCAGGTCTCCCATCTCGGGCACTAAATGATCCCCACCATTTGCAGCAAATATATACGTGACGCATACATACACATGTATGTATGTTAATCCTCCACCAGATGCTGCGTGTGTCTCAAGGCATCCTGCTAATAAAATAACAAAGACTGTTATTCCCGGCGAAGGGAGTGCCAAACTCTAGGCGAAATTATTGGAAAAAAAAACACATGAAATTACACTGACTTGATTCTTGTTTTTTTTTTTTTTTTTGGTTTTCGTTTTTTAAAAGAGACGTTAAAAACCATCCGGTTTCTGATCTGCCAATGTGTTAGTGTAAGTCCCGATGCAGATCAGTACCTGGGCCCCTCTATTTCTTCTTTCTCCATTGGAGCACTATGATAATGGAATGTGAAGGGAGAAAGAGAAGAGAAGTGCAGCTGCTATTCCCGCCGCTGCTTTAGCTACAAATAAAATGACAGAGTGAAGTGAGCTCGTCCGGAGACACCTTCATCAATTAATTCCCCTAAAGCCAGCGCTGATTGGACACTCCTGACAGGTGATGCAATAAAAATTGATATTCCACCCCTTCCCCCCAAAATCTCCCACTAATTAGCATACCCTTATATTGCCACCTCCCCTCTCAAAGTAAATAATACAGTCGGTATATAAATCTTTCCATTAAACTATCGGAGCTCAGAAACAGCCTGACTCACAGACTTCATCTGACCCAGTGTGTGTACGCTTAAAAAAAAAAAAAAAACTGTATATTTGCCTTTAAAGGAATATCGCCTATTTTTGATTTATTTGCATTTTACAGCAACAGCTATTATCATTTCAAAGAAAAGCATTTTAAAAACATTATCAAGCTCAAATAGATACACCCCACCCCCTTTTTCCTTTGGAAAATAGAGCGTAAGTGAAAATGTGCAGAATAGCCTGGTATTTCCCTTATGGGAATGGGGAAGGAGACGGGCTGCGAGCTCCAAAGTTAAACCCGCGCGGTGAATCGCCCCAGTACGGACTTACGTTTTGAATTTCTCTCGGTTTTCCTTTTTTTTTTCCCCCCTGCAATGCCTTTTTACAACCAGAAACAAAGTTATTTGACCAAGGAAGCAGTTCAAGGCTCCAGCTCCAAAACACTGTAACAATTCAAGTGGATTTGGGCTCTCTGCTGGGGGGTGGTGTTAGGGAGGAGGTAGTTTCACGTCAGACCCATAACAAAGCATATAGATAAGCTAGAAATGAGTACACTTTTCACAATTAACCAGGCTGGATTGGAGGCGGGATCGTCCTAGAGTACCCAGCACAGCCTTTGCCTGGGTCCTGTTTACCGCAGGTCAGAATTCCAGGGAGCAGCTTGCTTCTGCAGCCAAGAACAGAATACGTAAACCGCCCAAGGTACTTCCAGAGGTTTTACGTAATAACGATGAAAAGAAAGTGCTGATATACGGTGCAGACTATTTTAGTGGTCTATTACGCTTTTACTTGGTAGTTTAAGTGAATCTTCCACAAATCCAATTTTTTTCCCATGAAAGCCAAGCATCTGCTTAAAAAATTACTTTGGATGAATATCAATATTGTTTAACTTCTTAGCCAAATTAAGGCATATTTTCGTGTCGTTTTAAAGGATATCCAAAATATTGCCAAATGAGAACAAGGGTCTTCCCAGTTGTGTTACCACGATCCCAAGTCCCTTTGTTGGCTGCTTTGCAAAATTCGGCAAAATCTCCTTAAGTATTAGGTGTTTGCAACTACAGCAGAAAAGCAACCTAGGCATTTATATTTCCTTGTTCCTCCAAAAATAGACACATCCACGAGATTAAAAGAATAAGCGGATATTTCAGAGCCTGCAAGGAAAAAAATGTAAATGATTTCTTCCTTCACATTAAAAAGTTCCAGTTTCCACTCCTCCAGTCTGGCTACCACAAGCAGGTACTGTTCCAAAACAGAAAAAAGAAGAAAAAAGATACAAACTGAGGAATCTCATACAAAAAGGTAGCTTGCACGAAATCTCGGCCATAGTTTCCCACCCCCACCCTTATCTCCCTTGTAATTTCCCAGGAATTTTGAAGAGAATTGGGATTCTGAGAAGTGCATCCGGAAATTAAGGAAGTCTATTTAAGAGAGTCTGTAACTCAGAGGTTGGGATTTGAAAAGTCAGCCCTGGACTACTGTTGCACTCAGCACAGATGTAATCGCCGCTCTTCAACTTAATCAATGTGTGTACAAACCGCGATGTCTAGTTCTTGCCTTTGAAATCTAAGGCTAGCATTTCCATCCAAGAAATCAGAGCTACAGCAAATTACATTTTTGTCCCTTGAATGAGAGAAGGATCATTGTATGGATCTCGTGATATTTCAGGCTTTAAACGTAACCGAGAGGCAGCAATGAACAATGCCTCGTCACAGCTAATACCATCCACCGAGTTGGCTTTCTTTTGCATCTGGATCCATCACAGCGCGTTTTTCTCTTTCACTTTCACAGGAGACAAAATGCAAAATGTTTAAGCAGAAAGCAAAGTTTCCAGGAAAAGCAGATGCTGGTGTTTGTTATTTAAAGTAGAATGACCAGAGTCTTTCTATTGCTAGCAAAAATAATGTCGTTTTAAAATTCCTCCCGATCCACTTATATAGTGCCAGCCCTCTTCCTCCCACCCCACCCCCGTCCATTTCCCCTCCCCCAGTCTTAAGATTTCTACCATAGAGTCAAACCGCCAAGAAATAGTAAATTCAGAAAAAGCTTATTACAAAAGGTTGGCTAGAGTGTCTCCCCTTCCTTTTTTTGGACAGGTAATTGTTCTCAATTCCTATTTAGATTTGCACACACACACCCCCCTCCTGCACATGGCAACATAATATGGTAACCATTTCAAAAAAAATTACCTTCTTTTCCTCTCCCTCTCTTTCAATCTTTAAAATACTGGCAGTATAGGTGGTTTTTAAAACGAGTAGAATATTAAGTATTTTTTTTAAACTAAGGGTACAATTTATTGGATCAAATAGAGAAATATAAAGGCTGGGAGATTTGGGGATTTGTCTATATATACAATTTATGAGAATATCTTTGTGTGTGGACCTAGACATCTTTATACTTATACATTTTTAATACTCCTATTACACAGCTTTCTTCTTGTCTAATACATTCTTTTGTTCCTTTAACTTCCCCCATCGTTGTGTGTGTGTGTGTGTGTGTGTGTGTGTGTGAAGGTGTGAGCACGCGCATTCACACGCATACACACACAGAGAATGTGACAGACAGCTTTCTTGTGGCCATCAGCACACGTTGCATATCCGGGGTCTTCTCCAGGCACATTAGGGGTCGATCCCGATAAAAAGATCTAGGAGAGGCCCCTGAGCGCTCACACATGAAAGGCAGGGGACTTTAAGATGGATTTGCATGCACACAGGGGAGTTCGATCAATAGCTACCAACATTTATGGCTTAGATTATTAATGTGAAAGCTGGCCAAAGAATGGGGATGAAAAATTAAAGGTGTCTGTTATCAATTATGCTTAAAGTTATGCAATAATTTACTTACTTTGCCTGGATGTGCAGATCCAGATGTACAATTCTTCAAAAGCCAGTGGATTTCTTTGATAAATTTGTTGACCATGTCAGCCACCTCTACAATCAAAGATGAACCCAATTCAGATGATGGACTGTATTCAAATTCTTTTTTAAGAAAAGATATATCAACTTCCATGTTTCTCAAACCCATGTACATATGTTGGTGGATAGGCTCAAATTAACATTTATGTATATAGCCATCTCTAAGGGGCCAGGGAATTACTTATTGAGTATATATGAAAGGCTTTGAGTTTGTTAGTTGAATGCGATTATTTACTTAGTGAGGAATGCATAATCTATACACTATCATAGTGTTTTAGGTTTGAAAACAAAGCTGCTTGCTAAAGGAGAATCTTCTGTGGCAAATACAGATAAAAATACATTCTTAATGTTCACTTCTGTATTTATTGTAAAAAATCAGCACTTTCAGTTTTTAAAGTGATAAGCTATGGAAATATGAACATATTTGTCTTTACTTATCCTGTGTGAATGTGCCAAATTTACCTTCAGATGATCTATTTTGATTTATTTTTACTGTATTTTATGTTTAAGTACCATTGCAATTCAGTCTGACCTTTTTCTTCTGGGGCAGAGTAATGGACACGGCATTTACAGTCTTAAATGGTTAGCTGGGAAATGCAATAGCAATTTGCAGAAGTAGTTTACTAATGGGGAAAGTTCTTTTGAAAACCTGAAGGAAAACCTAGGAGTACTTTTGCATTTTTACACTATAACTGTCATATAATTAAAGTACTGAAGAGCATTAAAATAATCCCTTTTTCCCAAGCTTTCACCCATACATACGTAATTTAAATGAGGATCACCACACCCCCCATCATCCTAACTGCCTAACTCTTCACCATATACATTTGTTTTAGTGATTGCTAGGCATATTTTGTTCAATGTGATTTCAGAGAGAAAAGACCAAGCAACATCACAAAGGCCTCAACAATGTGAGCATACTAGTTAGAAGAATAAAAGAAGCCCCTTGTACTGTTAGGCAAAAGTAACTATAATACTTACAACATAACAAAGACTAAAATAATAATAATTTAAAACTTCATATAGCTGAATTGAGGATATAGGACAATAAAAGCTTATGTGGTAGTCAACAGTTCTTACCTAAATTTATCTAATCTTGTGTGTTCTCTGCTGTTTGGGAGGGGAACATGAGAATGGAGGAACAGGAAATGGCTAAATTAAAGAACAACTTAAATTATAACTTAGAATATTTTCTTTAATTTTTTCTTTTTGTCTCATCCAAACAAATCAGGGCAAATCTCCAAAAGGGCCCATCCTTCTGTTCTTAGGCATTTAAAAATCCTGTTTTAAACAGAAGTTTGGGACACAGAATATATGCCATGTTATCTACTGACCCATAATCCAAATGCAGTGACCTTCTACCCTTTTATTGCCCCCTGACCCATCTTGAATTCTGTGCAGCCTTTATAAATTTGCAAATCCTTGGAGGTAAAGGGCTTTCTTTTCTTTTTTCTTTCTTTTTCTTTCTTTCTTTCTTTTTTTTTTGGTGAGGCTTTGTTCTGAAAAAGCCCTAAGAATGTGCTTTTTGCATTAGACAAAGGTAAAGCAACAAACCCTAGTGGACAGGATTTTATACAGGTGAGCTATAGGCAACTCTTCAGATAACAGACATTGCAAGCTAAAAAAAGTAATTATAAACATGGAAGACAAGAAGGTTATAGATTTCATCAAATTAGAGTGTGGTACAAATCACTTTCATGATGTAAGAAATAGGCCAAAATCTTTCTGCTCTCATCATCTCAAGGGCTATGGGGGACCCTAGTGATCAAGGAAGGAATGAGGGTGGGGGTAGTGGAGAGAGACAGGAGGGAGGGAGGAAGGGGAAGAAAGAAAGGAGGGAGACCTGATCTGAATCTACAGGCAGATTCCCTTATCTTTCCTGCTATCAGCCAGTTTAAAGGACACCATAATTATGATGGTGATGAAACAATGCCTACTTATGTGTGCTGAATAAATAAAGAATGTTTACAGCTCAAGAATCTTTTAATTCCAATTAAATGCTATCAAAGAAAAGCCACTTTTCCTACCGCAACTGCCTTTCCCCCCAATTATCTTGTTTTGTTGCAATATTTTCCTATGAGACACCAGGGTCTCTAACAATGGATTCTGAATATAGAAAAAAAATCTGAGAAAGTAGAGTTCAATGTTAATGCATTAAATAATGCACAAATATCAAGAGCCACAATTTATTTGTGTTGCACCATTTTTTGTTTATTTTCCACAAGGGCCAAATGTGTAGAGACTGAAGTGCTGACACTAAGTGTTGAGGCCTACCTATGGGCTGCTGAAGTCATACTGAAATTCTGAGCACCCTTGAGGGGAGAAGGGAAAGATAAGACATGTGGGGCCTGATGGCCTCTGTAAAGGGAATCCTCTGGTTCTGTTCCCCTGGCTTCAGCCCAAATCCTTCTAGGAGCACTAGAGCCAATCACAGTCTTCCACTGTAGCAGCTACTGGGTGAACACAAAAAAGCGGGAGATCAAAAAACCCAAGTTCCCATTTATGGATACCAAGGATCATTTCATATTCATGACTTCAACAAATCACATCATAATCGGATTTAGACAAGGTGTGGGCAAAAGTGCCCACCAGGCCAGGCACTACACACTGATGGACCACAAAAGTTGCTTTTTAATATAGGAATCATAAGGTGAAAATTAAGTATTTTAACTTTGAAAAGCTTAGTTTTTGATACTGAGGCCAATTTCTACAAGTCATAAGTCCTTCTCTTTAAGTAATTCCTCAACTTTTAATTCAAACTTCCATTTTCTCTTTCAGTTCTAATAGTGTTTTGCCCGTTTTAAAAAACATGCTATAACAAACATGAAAAATGCACTCGTCTGTTAAAAGCCCATACAAACTTGCCTTTTTACTACAGCTAAATAGTGCATTGCTAAGAATAAACTTAAAAAAGTTTCCTTGAAGAAATATCTAATATTTCTTGGTAATTCTATTTGGTGATTGTGGTACAAAAATACAGTGGTAAAAAAATGTCACGGTATTCGTATGTGTGCTGGATAGTCTCAGGCCCCTTTCCTTTTGCAAGTTTAGAGCTCCAATACCCTCAATTCTACAGGCAGAATTAGGATGGACTTAGAGGGTCCTAAACGTGACCGATTCACTAAGGCGGGGGGCTACAGCTTGCAGCAACGTGCTCTGCAACTTAATCCTACGCTAAAAGAGGGCAGAGAGAGAAAAAGCATGGAGTACAAACTCTCCCGACATCCGTAGTTAACTTTCAAGGTGGATTGTGTATTTTAAGGCTGATGGGAACGTCTGGTTTTCGGAGCAAAAAGAAGAGAAGGTAAGTGTTTGCCCTTGTATTCACCAGTTCCTAGAGAAACAATGAAAGAACAAAGGGAACCACTTCTCCATCTGAACATTTTCTGTCTCTCCCTCCGTTTCAAGCCAAAAAGCTTGCAAGGGGATTAGCTTTACTCTACCTTAAATAGTTGTTGCTAGGCTTGTTGAAATGAGAATGAGAAAAAAAATTGAGCGGCAGTGTAAATACAGACTAAATAATAATAATAAAGACTTGCTGTGGCGACTCTTCAAAGCGCCAGTGGCAGCAACTTACAGCACAACTTGCTAGTTGCATTAAGGTAAAGCCCAAGAAACAATCTTTACGTTGCAGATTTCGACCTTAGGCATTGAAATCACCTTTCTTGCAGTCTGAAAGGATTTCTGCGCACAAAACGTGTAGGTACTCTCGATGGGAAGAGATCGGTGTACTATATAGGTCGAAAAAGTGTTCCGTTGCTATCTGGAGAATTTTTAAAAAGGAAAGGGGACTCAAGTCTTGACGTTACTTTTTGCTGATAGGAGAAATGGCAGCAGTGGCTGGGCAAGGAGAAAGATTCGTGTTTAAATGTATTTGCTTTTGGGATACCGTGGTTATCGGCAAGTCTGCCTTTGTGGGTCTGTGTGACTGAATGTGTAAGTGATCGAGTGCTATCGGCATTATCGGTGGGTGAGGGGAGCCCCCAAAGCAGGACAGCACGTGAAACACATTTTTAGTGCCCCCCCCAAGCGACGACCAAGCCCCCCTCCCCTAAATGCGTATATTACCTGACCAGTTAGTTACAGTGGACACATGTTTATGTTTATAGTCCTGGTTTGTAGTAGTGTCAAGAGCCGCAGCGAGAGAAGGGGGAGGAGAGAGGAGGGAGGAGTAAATGCAACCACCCCCACTTGTTGTTAAAGCAAATTTACTGCGTTATTGCAAGCCAGTACGGGGGGCTGGGAAGTGAGTTGAGAGGAAGGGTAGAGTTGGGTTCTGTGTTGGTAATGGCAGGGGGGGTGGGGTTAGGAGAACCGGGATGGAGCTCTGCTCTCCACCGGTCCAGGAAAAGCAGCTTGGTCAATAGGGAAGCATGCTTCCGCGGTGGAAAACAAAAAGGTTTCTCCTACTCGCTGCGTTAACGTGGGGGGGCTCTGCAAGCTGGGCTCCAGGGCCCTGACCTCTGAACCCGGCTCCTCTCCGCGCTCTCTCGGTGCTGCGCGGCCACTTTTTACCCAGGATCCCTCGCGCGGGCCGCGCTCGTGCCTTGCTCGAGTCCCTGTTAATCCTTCTGTCCACGATTTCCACCCCTCCCCCGCTGCCGCCAACCCCCGGGGAGGATTCTCCGACGGGGAACCCCCGCCCCACCCCCACCCCGAGAGCCCAAGCCCTGGCTGCCGTGGAGAGACCAGTGGGGCGATGAGTGCAGAGCCGGCTTCCCCTGCTGGGTCGGGCCTGCGGGGGAGGGGAGGGAGAAGAGGAGGAACGCAAAGGGGACGGAGGGAGGGGGGGCAGGCAGCCCGGCCCTGCGGCCCAGCAGAGGCCTGGACCTGTTGACTGCCATTGCTCCGCTTGGTCCCGCGCCCTCTCCCGGCCCGTCGCAGTCCCGGTCTTAAGGCGGAAACCAGGGGAGGAAACATGGTTGGTTGTTCTCTCTGCCTTCCTCCAACTTTGTTTTTTTCTTTGGGGTAGAGAAGGCAAAGTAATCTCCGATGCCCGATCCTTGCTCAAAAGGTCTTGAGAAGACCCACCACCCTCGGGGCCCCACTATTTAAATCCTCCTCTCCCCACCTAGACTTCTCTCCGAGCCGGAGGGCCCTGAGGCCCGTAGTGCGCCTCCCCCCGCCCGGCGCTGCTACATCCCCAGCGAATTGTGTTGCTTTTCTTCCATAGAAGCTCCCTCGTCTACCCTCCACTTTTACCCCGTCTCACGAGGCGTAAGATGAAACCTCTGGTTTGCTGCGTGCTGCTGGACACATTATCTGCCTCTCGTCCAAATTCATTTGTTGGCGAGTTTAACAATGTTTAAATAAAAAGAGAGGGGAGTGTTATTTGGCAGTTTAGAGGACATCAGGGCGTTAAATAATAAAAAATATATTTTAAAATTTTGTTGGAGTTACTGTATTTACTTCTAGATTTGGGGTTTCCAGAGGAATATTTTTCCAGCGGGAAATCGCAAGTTGGAATTAAGGTGGAAGTAAGACATCTCAACCACTTCCGAAAATAAAGGGGAAATTAAAAAAATACATGAACGAAATAGCGGGAAGACGGACGCAGCGGAAGCTGGAATAGTGATAGGCAGCGCCTCGGTGTCGGAGTCCGAGGAAGGAGGACCGGGCCGGGAGGGGAAGGAGGCGACTTCTCGGGCTGCAGGTCCGGGCGCTTGTGCTGGCAGGAGGCGGCAAGCCGGGCGAGCGTGGTAACGCGGGCGGGGAGGGCGGCGGTGGGCGGGGGCCGGGCGCAGGGCCGGCGCGGCGGAGGAAGCGGGAGCCCGGCACACCTCGCCTGGAAACCCCCATTGTTCATCTCTCGCGCCACAGTTTCCCTAGTGCTCACTTCCCGAGGGAGGGGTCCTGCAGCCCAACTGGACCCCTACCCTAGCTTCCCCGAACTCCGACGTTCGGGCTGGGTTGGGTCGGTACAGCATGTTTAATCCTCAGACATCGTCAGCGAGAGGTTCCCAACTCCATAGTATTTATGGAGGAGGCTTTCCAATGTGCCGCTAAATTGGCGGAAGCTGGGTAAGCCTGCAACTCACTTTGAAGAAGAGGGGAAGCAGCCTACACGTGCTTATAAAGTGCTAACTAGATAGAGACAAATGTACGTTTTTCTGGCTCCGGAGAGTTAGAGCCGATTCGATCTTATTTTAAGTACTTTTAAATGTATGGATTCGGGGTTCAAAGGAGTTCGGAAAAGCACGTCTCTGTTTGTTATTATTCAGCTCTTTGTTGTGCGCAAGAAGCCTAATTTTAAAAGGGCCGAGCTACCCCAAACAAAAACAGGCTTGATTTCTTAACGCGAAATGCATTTTCAAAATAAAAGTGAAACTGAAAAGGGAAAAATAAGTCATTTGCTTAAAAACCCGGTTTTGGAAACAAATAACTGCAACCCACGTACGAAACTATCTCTTTTCCTTTGTGAAGTATATAGAAAAAATATTTCTGGCAAATGTCACAGTTTCAAAATATGAAGATTTCCAACAAGTGCTCGCGGGTCTTGAAGACAAAACCGAAGTCATCGTGCATGAAAACGAATGAAGAGAGGATTTCAATGCTTTGATCCAAACCGTACTAGGGCAAGGGAGTACTTTACACTCAGATTTATAATAGACTGTGCAGAAATTCCATCTAAAATACCCACTACTAGTCTGTGTATGCAACACTGTTTCCCAAGGTTGATTTTAAAAAACCAATTAGAATTGATCTCTAATGAAATATTATATTTACATGTCATCAAGAAAACATCATTTGACAAGAGTTTTAAATTACAAGAAAGAAGTTAACAGATGATGTTCATAAACAGCGTCTGTTTGCAGAGAACCCTGAAGAGTTAGTTAAAGGTAGTGGTGATTGTGATTTTTCATTTGATATGCTATAGAGGTGGTTTGTATTTTAACACTTTCATTTTGCGGATCTTCCGAAACTTGCATTTCCTCATGTAAATCATTCAGTTATTTCGAGGTAGAGGGAGAAATTCTCATACAAGGTCAAATTATAGAAAAATTTGAAGAGAAAAAAATTGGTGTGGAAAATTAAGTATTCTCAATCTGTTCATTTATTACACACGCATCCTCCCATAGTCCCCCTCCCTAACTTCTTGGATTTAGTTTACATTTTTAAATTTTAAGTCTTTAAATATTTAGAATAGCTTTATACATTTATTTGCTTTTTAATTGATTGTCGAAGATACATCTTTTACCACCTTTTAATGTTTCAGGCATATTTTTGGTTTTGTTATAAGTTAAAAAATGTTACAAGTCCTGATACTCTTGTGAGAAAAACAACAAATGGGTGGGAAAAAGGAAGGAATGGGGGTGGGGATAGAGATGGACATATGTAGTATTCCTGGTCAGTGTTTAAAATATCCTTTCTTTGATTTTATTTCATTGTTTTTCACATCTGCTTGCAGCAATGATCATTGTTTTTTTTAATTGGGGTAAAGTGCCACCGTATAAAAATTACATACATTCTAGCACTTAGGCGCTCTGGTAAACGTAAGACCGACAAAAAGTGATGGGGGGCGGGGGCTTGTGTGTTTAATTCGCCAGGAATGTTAAGCTTCATAAGATTTACCCGTGGGTCCACATAGGTCCTTGATCCTGTTACTGTACAATTTCAAGAGGTAAATGTACACATTATAGTTTTTAAAAATCTAAGATGTACTAAGCAAAGTGTTTATTAATTGAAGGAATAAAAAATGAATTTGTCCACCCCTTTTTTTCTGGGACACAATGCAGTTAATTAACATATTCTTGGGTTTGTTTCTGGATTTGGTAAACAGTGGCCCCTTTCAGAGGGGAAAACATTTAAATCTTAAAAAGTGATCTTTTTTGGGGGGGGGGGTCCAAATAGTATTTAGCAATTCAATTTAATTTCTCCTCCTTCTTTTTCTTCTTCTTTGTCCAGGATATGTTACATTTCCTTCAAGTTCTCTTTCATTTCAAAACCTGATTTTCCTCTTTTCCGTGTTCAGAATCTTTTCACTTAGAACCTTATTGTCTCCTATAAACAGACACCTACATATGTCACTTTAATAACAGAAATGCAAATTTTCAGTGTCAGTAAAAAAAAAAAGGAACATGGACCTTACACTTCTACTGTTCCGTTATATTGAAAATACTCTGAAAAATCAAAGTATAGCACTTTATTGTTGCATCATGGAAAAAAAACTCTTCATTAGTCCAACTCTGAAATGTTATTGAAGTTTCTATAATGCCTAGATTATCTAAAGTCATCCTTTAGATATTACTTTTCTATTGGTGTTTTACCCAAAAATATCAACAAAGCCAATACATATCAATTTTACAGCAAAGAAGTAGCTCAGAAGTCAAACACAAGAGTAACCAAACCAATCTAAACCATTTAAAGTAAATATTAGTCTTTGATTCTTAAAGAGTTAAAATTTAGATTATACACAATTTAAATTTCAGAATTACCTAACTAAACTTCTCAACAATTAAGGATATCTAACAATAAAATTAATCATGATTAATTCTAAGTTAGAGTTTGATTTTTTAAAGAAAATGATGACATTTACATGAAAAGGTGGTTAAACCTTTGACAGCTATTTAAATACAGAGCATTCTAAACTACCTGGTAAAGAAAAACTCTTCACCTATATTTATTTCAATTATTGAAAGTATTTAAAGAAACCTATATATTTGAAAATTTCTGTTAATCATTACTTAGAAATTTTAGTTAGTTGTACTTATAAAGTTTTGCTTTACTCTGAAAAATAAAGCTCAGTCTGCAGTAAGCTTTTAAACACCAATATTGTACATCAATGAATATTTATTATGGGCCTACTGTAATACCTAGCAAGTGGTATGGTGAGTAAAAAATATCACCTAGTAAGATTAACACACTTCATTAAATGGTATTTCCCTAAAGCCATTAACAAAATCTCAATTTAAAACAATGGAAATGAGTACCTTTTAATGAAATTTCTATTAGTACTCCACAATATAGGTGTCATATGTAGGATTATATCTATAAAGACACAGTACTCACTTATTATGAAACAAATAACAAAAGTAGTTGCAGAAATACCTCAACATTTCAATCATACTAGCATAAATATATGGCGACTTTTTACAT